TGAGCACACAAGGCCCTTCTTCAAGTAAACAAGGGCACAAGGGTGGGGGAGGGGTGCATGGAAAAGCCTCAGGCGGAGGGGAGGAAGGTGAAGGCAGATGCTCTCCAGGATATTACAGGGCTCCCTGTATACCAGAACCCCCACAGAGGAGCATTCTCAGGACACTACTCCTATACCCGGGGCCATCACACCATCACCTGGCCAAGCTAAGTGAGGGGAAGGTCCACAAAGCGCCAAGGACACTGCGACACTCACCAAGCCCCCAGGTCTCCAGGCTCAGCTCGGTGAACAATGCTGAAGCAAGACAAGAGCCTGATGCTCTCGTCACACACACTTATGAGTGCAGGCTTATGGCAGATGACTAGCTGCAAACAGGGGTGGCCTGGCCTGGACACCCTGCCACAGAGCCCTATGCTTCAATTCCTTCTCCTGGCCATGCACTCTGATCCCACCGCCCTGCTAGCTGAGAATCACTCTACATGGAGATACCCCGAGGGGAGATAGGGCCCATGGACAGGTGCAGCTCGCTCATCTGAGGCAGGCATGGGCATGTGGCATTTATAGCTCTGCGGCCTACGGTAAGACAAACAGCATGGGAGACTAGCTCCCTTCCTGACAGGTGGGAGTCTAGTTGGCCATGTTGGATCTCAACTCCTTCACTGGCAGCTCAGCTCGGTCAGTGAAATCAATCAAAGCTGAATTGTCAGACAGGGTCTCCCTTATGTGATAAAGCCTTGAAATTAAAAAATAAAAAATAATGATAATTTTTAACTTACAAAGAAACTTTGTAACTTAAGATAATTCACAACTACTCTTTAAGAACTACTACATGCTGTTATATTAAATATACAATAATAGTTCTCTCCCAGAGCAAAATTTTAGATAATGTCTCAATAACTATGTGAGTTTTTATAATCTTTTTGCTGGGCAAAAACTGTATCCAAGTGAAATGCAGTGGGGCAGCAGCATCTTATGGGCACAGGAAGAGGAAGGATGGGGAGTATGTGGCACAGCTCCACAATTCTCGTGACCAGCCAGAGGTCGCTCTGAACTTTGTCCTCTAGTAACAGCTTAGCCCCAGGCAAATGGGGCATCCACAATATCATTCCTGCCGCCCCATATCCAAGGGTGGGAAGAATCTGAATTCAAAAAGGAAAAATTCTTACCACTGACAGAAGCTTGAGATTTCTTGTTATCTATATTTAAAAAAACAAAAACAAAATAAATAACGTTTTATATAAACACATATTTTCACAGTAAGTCAGTTTATATGCATTTGCCCAGAAGTCATTTGCTAAAACTGAGCTCACCCTGCCTTAGAAACTAGATAAAACATACCTCAGAGCTTCAGTGTATGTTTGTGTCTGTGTGTGCGCACACGCACTCACACACGTGTGTATGTGTCCCATTCCTGGCAGCGCTGCCACACAAGGGGCCCTGGGAGAAGAGGGTGCAGAACCCCCCAGAGCCAACCTGGGGCCTTACAGAACTGCCCCAGGCAGAGGCTCACTCTGGGCCTACTCTCGCTCTCCTTCCTTCCTAGGGCCCTAGTCTCAGCTCCTGCCCTGAGCAACCAACAGGAAGCTGTAGGATCCATGATGGGCCCAGATGGTGCTGAGAACTCCATGACACCTCCATTTTCAACCTACGCCGTGAGGCAGCCTCTCTATTTTCTAGAGAAACCGAGGCTGACCAAACCTCGCTGGAAGTCAGCCCTAACTGGCCCTAGGGTCAGGCGGGGAACTGCCGCACCAGTTCCACCCTCTCCTGAGGCGCCAGTGAGAAAGCTGTGGACACCCTAGCCCACAGGCCTGTGTGTGCCAACGTGCCAGGGCCACCTCCTGAACAGACCAGCCCAGCCCCAACAGGCAGAGTCCCTTGCCAGGACAAAGCAGGATGGTTCATCCAGGCTGCTCGTTCTCCAAGCTCCTACTTCCCCCTCCTCTTGTTCTAGAAGCCATAGAACCTTCCCAGACAGAGCAGGAAAATGAAATCAAGTGAAGTCCACCTTGTTGGCTGTCCCGATAAAAAGCTAGTTGGTGTGGAAAGAAGCAAAGCCTCTGGGGTTCTACCTTAGCCCAGGATCAGAGACTGAATCTGTAGCTGCCTCTACAGCCACAGGGGAACAGCGACTGGACTTGCCAAGTGCACACTCCAAGGACAGGCTATGTCAGGAGCCCATCTCCCGTGGAAACACAGCTGCAGGCAGGCAAGAGGCGCTGTTGGCTGAAACCACAGAGTGCCCCGCCCCGCCCTGCAGCCCGTTTCCTTTACAGATCACAGCCACCCAGGAACACTCAGCGTCTACACAGAAAACCCTGACCCAGGGATGCAGTGACACTCGTTTCTGAAGTGCCATGGCCGCTGCTGGGCCTGGCTGACAACCACGGCAGGACCTGGGAATCAGGAGGTGGGATGTGGCAGGACCTGGGGGTCCCTAACTATGGCAGGGAGCTCGAGGCAGGAAGTTGGCCTCAGAAGCTTCCAGCCTAACAGGAACACACATTTAGGTCAGGCCTCCATGGGTCAATAAAACCACTATTAGGG